ACAAATACAAACAAACACCCCCCCCCATCTCTATTTTTCCATAGAGGTTTTTCTGCATTTTGTCTAGTCAGTGTTAGTTTTCTGTTTTGTTTTTTGCTTCCTTTGTGTTTTGTATGATTTCCTCCATATGGAATTCAGAGTAGGTAACTCTGTACAGATAGTATCTGGATTCGCCATTATCTGGGGGCATGGCCGAGGGGGGAAAGGGGGAGATGAGGAGCTAAGAACAACGGATGCGAGAAGAAAATGCTCTGAAGTTGATTGTGGCGATGATTGCGCAAATCCTTTTAATCTGATACAATGATTAACTTGTCTGCTTTGTCAAGTATATGCCAACAAAACTATTTTTAAAAAACATAAAAACTTCCCTGTTTAAGATTTTGTCCACAGAGTGAGTCTAATCCTTTAACCCTTATAAATTTAGCCCTAAAACCTTTAACCTTTAACCCCCTAACTCTTATAACTTTAGCGTCTCAGATAGATGATATCCACCATGAACATGCTTGTTCTTTTTGACAACAAAGAAGTAATCACATGCCTAATTTGACTTTTGCCATATGGCAAGGAACTCAGTTGATTATAATGGTAACATCTATGTAAAATGATGCTATTTTCTTTTTTTTTTTCATTCAACTTGTAACAAAAAAAATCAAGAGAAGAAAAACTGCCATTGACTTGATCCTGATTCAGAGATGGCGGTTTTATTAATTTGAGGTTTAGTAGGAGGGAGATAGTGACTTTAAACTCTTCTTTCAGCAGCTGAAACACTGCCTGCTGTATTTTTATGCATGTCTGGATAAGAACCTCCTTTCTTTTAGGAAGCAAAACATAAATCCTTATTAGAGCCTCTAAGCCCAGTTAATGTTTATCTTACTCACTTCCTCTTTCAGCCCTTTGTCCCACACTGACCTCCTTCTGCTCATTAAATACGACATGATGCTGACCTAACATTTTGGTAAGCTGTTTCTCAGTTTGGCCCTTCACGTCTTCCCAAGTACTTGCTCATCATAAGTCATAGCACAGCTCAACTATCATTTCCTCAGCTATCACTTCCCTGACACATGTGGAACGATACTCATCCCATGTACAGACATTCATGATGCGCTATACTTCTTCAGAGAACTTGTAGTAGGGCACAAGCACTTGAGGGACTGGCAGAATCCAAATCATTGAGAGCTGAGACTATAGCTTTTTATTCACAGTTGCAGTCATGGCACCTAGTAGGACATGCTGACCTATTAGGTGTTCAGGAAATATGACTGAAGGACTGAATATGTTAGTAAAGGAAATAGAAACAATGACGATGACGATGAAAGTAAACCCATGATGGGTTTCTCTGATGACCAAATTATGAAAGTATGGATAGTTTGTAAAAATGAAGACGAGAGTTTTGAACTGGGCTTCCATGTAACAATTCCCTATCCAATTCTTCTAGCATTTAACTTATTTTGCGATCCAAGACAGAGGAAGAAAAATAGGGAACAGAATCAAGACTTCATTAGTAATGGCTCATGAATCTATTTTATGTGGCATCAGCTAAAGTTCACAGTTAGGGGACTTCTGCACGAGGCTGAGGCTTCCCTTGCAAAATAAATCCCTCAGAACACAATGACGTCATCAGGCAAACTCGGAATCTCTGAAACAAATCTGTACGGGAATGGGATTTCCTCTGAGAAAATATTCACACACAACAAGAGGACCCGAGGTGGTACTGCGGGTCAGGCGCTGAACTGCTACCCACAAGGTCAGTGGCTCAAGCTCACCAGCTGTTCTGAGGGAGAAAGATGAGACTGTCTGTTTTCAGAAAGGTTTACAGTCTTAGAACCTTGTAGAGCATCAGTAGGAGGTGGAATTGACGGGATGACATTAGGTTCACATGCATCTATTAACTACATATGCCTGTGCACAGCTTACACTAAGCCTATATTAGGCTTATCTATAGAGGGTTCCTGTGTGTCAGAATCAACTCGATGGCAATGAGTTTATTTGCTTATTTTTATTTATTTGTATGTACCATATATAACAGATAAAATGAAAACTGCATTCTTGAATATTGGTATGAGGAAGAAACCATTATTTTACTTTCTATTCAAATTGTGGATGTCAATTTGACCTTATAAGTCAATAAAATTGATGGCCACAAACAGTAATACATAAAAAATAGCCCCCGCGTAAAAACAGGAGCACAACAACATACTTCTATTGATTCTGTCTTTAAAATGAGGAATGAGGGAATATAAAACTAGATTTGTGATTGCTTTTTAAATTCTCCGGGTTCACAAATTCTGTATGGGTTTTGTTTGTATTTCCAGGTCTTCTGCCTTCTAGCCATGTTTGTTTATTACCAAACAGAGTGGACAGATAGTATGCCCATATTTTACCCACACAATATATAAATATTGTATATATGTGCAAATATATTTAAAATTAAATTAAAGATATAGTTCATCAACATGACTTTGCATTGTAAACTTGATTTTTATGTGGCTTACCTTAAAGTTCTAAGCATATGGATTTGTTTTTCATTTATTATATAAAACATATCACAAATACTTTCAGCATTTAAGAAAGTAGATGAGATAAAAATACTATATGTTTTAACTGCTTAGTGAAGAAAGAAAGATGAAGAAGGGTAGATTCTGAAGCACAAGCAAAAGACTGATCTAGTAAGAGTAGCTTAACTAAGAGTTACAAGCATTAAAAAATAAATTCAGATTGTTTTACATGATCATAGTTTCTTAAGTTAACTAAGCATATTATTCTAAAGTTAAAAATCTATGCCTCAAGTTGCCCAAGATCAACTGATGTGTTCCAGTCACTAAAGTGAAATGAATTCATAATCTTGAGCACTGCGAAATTCCAAAGGTTACGTTGTTTGCTTATATATCCACACTATTACATACTATTGGTGATGTGACTGACATTACCGCTTTCCTTCCTCCCATCCTATTCGTCTTTCGAAAGGAAGCTAATCTTGGATTGGAAATTCAGTTTAAATGAGTGAAATTTTTATTTTGCAAAGGCAAGCACAGCAAAAGAAGGGAAACACACAGTACAAAAATATTTATCCATTGCAATGGAAATTTTCAAGTTGCCCTAACCCCCAAACTTTGTAATATGCTGCCAAAGATTTTCCTGAGATCAGGAAATAAGAAGAGAGCCAACATGCGAACTCATTTAAAGTCATGTGCGACATAGACTTCTCCTAAACTATTTTGAAGAAATATGTAAGTGTACTTTGAGTAGAATCTTGAGATATGTGAGTGTGGATGGAGCACTATGTGGGAAAATGATGTTTGCACAGAGACTGCAGCGGGAACTTGAAAGAGAAATACCAGTAGCATTCTCAGCTGATCATTAGTCCTAGTCCATTGTCTCTCATTGAAGGGAATCAAGGTGGAACAGAGGAGAGAGCATCCGCCAGACTGCCACACGGCCTGTGATTTCCGTTTTCATAGTGAGTCAACTGAGCTGGGGAGGTCTGACAAGTAGAGAGAAAGCAGTTGTGGAAAAGGAAGACCAGTTTTGACAAGCTGTTCAAGATAGCAGACCCATGGATAGATGTTCACAGTTTGCTGTCACTGTGTCTTCCTCCTTAAAGTGCACCCTTGGCCGATACATGCTCATTTGTCTGAAACAGGGTTTCCCTCCAGAAAATCCAAAGCCCCGCCATTCAGATTGTTGTAGCATCCTTGTAATGATGCAAACTGCCACTCTTATCGTGTTTATATGCCCACTTTCTCCTGTCCTTTCTGAATGCTTTCAAGCACATGAAGTGTCCAAGGTCACCTCTAGTGTCCTGATGGAAAGTTTGAGAATCTGTCAGGGAACAAATAATGCAGATCTGCAAAAGAGACTGTTTCCTAGAGGAAGTCAAGAACAGAGGGATGGGATGTTTGGCAAAGCTTCCTGAGAAAAAGGGAATGAGGACACACCTTAGATTGGCCTACAATGAAAGCTTCTTCAAGTTCTGGTGTGGGTCTGCCTTTCCATTATTGGCAAAGTGGTATATCATTAAGAGTTTTAAATCTCTCCACCTGAGCATCATTATAATTGCATTTGTTCCTTTGAGCTGGCAGCAAAGTCTGATACTAATATCGAGCCCAGTGGGAAGAAGGTCGTGGAGACTGAAGTGTAGGAAGTCCCAACTCCTGAGAATAAAGAAGCATCCGACCAAGAGGTCTCAGAGCACCATGGCTTGCGAGATGTGATCAGACATGAAGTGAGTAGTGACCACAAATGGGTAGAGTTGAAAGTGGCACTCGGTTCTAAGCACTAGCTGCCTGGTGGAACACAAATATCTCGAAGACAAGTATCTGATTTTTCATACATACGGAACTTTGGGCACATCAGGTGGGAAATAGGTCAGATCTTACTGAAAGGTAGGCTGATTAAGGAGAGAGGGAACTGCCTTCACCGAATGCCTATGCTAAACAAAAATTAGCTGGTTATGCCACAGTATAGGGGTTGAAAGAAATCAGGCATACATGAGACACCTATGAGGGACAATTGAAAGCTGGGCATTTGCAGACCAAGGACACCTAGGCACAGGTGAAGGCAACCTGGGCAAGAACACCAGGCACCAGCAACAGTACATCACACATGCACCTGAACTCAGCCACTAAGAACAGCCAAGATCCTCAAAGAATGCCCACCCCCCCCACTACCCCCAAGTGGGGATAGGTGGGGATAAATTGCACAGACTGACGGCCAGATGGTGGGACCTCTCCTGTGTGCGTGGCATGCACTTGTGTGCCCTCTCAGGGCCTGTGCCCTTTCTCTCTCAGATACTCTCTTTCGGGTTAGGAAGGAGGGCAGGGTTTCGTCTAGGTGCACCCTGTCAGGGCTCGCGCTCTCTCTCTCTCTCTCTCTCTCTCTCTTTTCCACTTTTTTTTCTTTCAGTTCCCGGACACCTCCTTCAGTTCTGTGGACACCACATTCTGGCCATTTTTCCACCTGGTTTTCCTTAAAACTCACTCCGAAGTTTGTTGCAGTTTACATCAGAGTCAAAATGTTTATTATCAGAGAAAAAGATATATTGGGGAAAATTCATCAGTTCTGAGAAAACTTGGTTATTACAAATTCAAGGCTCTAATATTTCCTTTGGCATAAATGGAGTTAAAGGACTTAAAGTCATAATGATACAAGAATAGTTCATTTATCTCGTAGTTCTACACGAGCACTCGCTAATTTTAGATAGCCAATTGAGACAAAGCATTATAAACAATTATTTTCTACCAGATAATTGGCAATTTCAACACATTTTCAGTTTCTTTACACACATGGCAAAAGCAATATAAAAATAAAATGTCTACACTTGGGAAAGCATAAAATATGTCAGTACTAGTTTTCTGCATACAAGGGTACTTATCTGTCAATGTTGATTATGGATTAATGTACATTTTCTAGCAGGCACTTACAATTTTGTCATTTCCTCCATAAAGGGTGCTTTATATATCACAGACAGTAACTGCTTCCTTTGGGGTCAGAGACAACTGAAAGGGAAATGAAGGCTAGCAGTTAGTGATTTCACACGAGGAGGATCATCCTCACGAGGTTCGGTATGTCCAACATTGATAATTAAAGCAAACATATCTTGGTTGAGTTGGCTGTGACTCTGGGGGGGGGCCCTGCAGCACAGAGTAGAACTGTCACGTGGGCTTTGCAAGGTTGTCCATCTGATGGAAGCCCGCTCTCACACCTTTCTCTTGCCACTGATAAGCAGCTCTTGCTAAATAATCGTCAAATATTTTGATTCTCACTCACTCCGGAACACATCTCCTATTTCTTGTGAAAGGCAAAATATCAGTGCAATTTTAAATGTTAAAATATTTACATCATTTTATTTAATATTTTATGTTACACTAAAATATATACATGCTCGGTAATAAATTAAAATTTAAAAAACACAACACAAAATGGTAGCTCATAGTCACTCTGGAAAAGTTAATGTGCTGGCTGGCAACCTCAAGGTCAGAAGTGCAAGTTCACCCAGAGTTTCTTCAGAGGAAAGGGCTAAAGATCTACTTTGAAAGGATCAGCCATTGAAAACTCTCACAGAGTGAGTTTTACTCGGAAGCATGTAAGGTCAGCTTGCCATATCAACGAATGGCAACTGATTTTTTATTAAGACATTTTTTCTGTCTTCTTTTCTGAGAATTCCTCTGAGCCAAGATCCTGTTCATCCTCTTGTTTGGAAAATGTTCTGGCAGCATATTTGAAATACGGTGTTTTGTTTTCTCGAAGCAGCACAAAGATGTTTGTTAATAACAGAAATGCTGAAGATGATCAATTGTAATCAAGAAGGGTAGTGGATGAACATTTGTACAATATGCGAAAAGCTCCGTAAAAATTCCTTAATATTCTTTTCCTCCAGTTCCTCGCATTCTTTGCATCCGGATTCGGTTGTATTCTGCCAAATTAAAAGAAAGGATTAGATGAGCTCATCAACTTTACTTCTTTCCTGAGAACATCATCTTGTCTGAGCCACATGATGAGATGCGGAGACATGGAAACCAGCAATTTAACACAATATTAGAAAACAATGGAAAAGGAGAAGTGAGAGACTTGCTAAGGGCTTCTTTATCCCATCAGTGATGAATAATATTGATAATAACACGATTAAAATAAGCCATGTTTATCAGACCACAAACTTAGTATCTAAAGCCCTTGACTGGATTCTCATGCCCATCCCTAGATAAGCCCATGCCTGTCTGCATGGCACACAGACCCTCCTGTTTGCATCTTTTTTTACCCATCTCTTCCACCACTCCTCACAGCCTCACACATAGTTGCCTAGGCACTCAGAGGTCATGCCTTTCCTTGAAGTCACACATCATACTAAAACACATTTCGTTGATGGGTGTTTTTCTAAGTGTGCTACACCCTTACTGGTTTAGCTAGCACCACTTACACCTAAAAACCCTTAGGTGTTGTCTGTGTTAAGAAGGTTTCTCAGAAACCTTGAGATCCCAGGCGAAACACATATTTGTGCTTTCCTAGAGCCCCCTGTTTAGAACTCAATCACAGTACTTCATATATCATATTAATATGTATTATGGATTTTTAATAATTTTATACTATTATTCTCTTAGATCTTCTAAGAAGTCAAGGATATATGTTTTTTTGTTTCCCCCACCTACACCATCATTTCTGGCACATTGCAATTATCCAGGCATTACTGAGTAAACTAAACTAGGGAGGGGGTACCATAAATTGTTGTGATTTAAACACCTCATGGATAATATGAGAACATTCCCACTAGAATTTGCTTTACATAAGTTATTTATTGTGTGGCTAAATTCTTCCATTGATAAGGTAGAGATATATCATGGAAATATTCCAACTAGAATATTCCAATCAAAGATGTACCTTCTTTAGTCATTGCCATTGTGTTGATGCCAACTCATGGTGACCTTGCAAGACAGCGGTTCTCAACCTGTGGGTCACAACCCCTTTGGGGTGAGAGGTCACCCAATGCATAACAGTAGCAAAATTACCGTGATGAAGTAGCAACAGAAATAATTGTATGGCTGGGGGGTGGGGTGTCACCACAATATGAGGAGCTGTACTGAAGGGTGGCGACATTAGAAAGGTGGAGAACCACTGCTGACGATGGCAGAACTGCCCCCGTAGGTTTCCAAGACTGTAACTCTTTGGGGGAGTAGAAAGCCTTGTCTTTCTCCTGCAGAGCAGTTCATGGTTTTGAACGGACCCTGTGGTTAGCTGAGCAATGCATAACTGTTATGCCACCAGGGCACACATACACCTCCTTAGAGATACCTGTACCACGAAAAAACTGTCACAGCAAAAGTCAAAATTCAGTTTTTACAACAATGAACATGTGGGGTTCCAATTTACCAATGTTCATCATTGACGTATAATGCTATCCTGTTTAATTCTCAATAGAATCATTTCATATAGGAAGGTAGAAATATTCAATGACTCACCTCATTCTCTAATCAACTGAAATTCTTCATATCCAGGTCTCTGTGCAGCCCTGCCACTCATTCTGCCACATCACCCTCCAAACTATGTCTTGATGAGGGTGACAGCAAAGGTACACAGGCGGCACAGTGGTTACATGTCGGGCTACTAACTGCAAGGTCAGTGGTTTGAAACCATCAGCCCCTCCTAGGGAGAAAGATGAGACTTTCTCCTCCTGTTAAGACTTACAGTCTTAGAAACCCAAAGGGCAGTTCTACCCTCTCCTATAAGCTCGTTATGAGTCGGTATCAACTTGATGGCAACGAGTTTAAAGTTCGGTTTGATTGCCGTGAGTTATTTATTTTGTAGCTAAGTCTTTCCATTGATAAGGCAGAGATATATCATGGGAAGTATTTTGAGCAATAATATATTTGCTTCGTAAATTTATCAAGGGTCTAGTATATGCCAAACACTGTCCTAGAACTGGGATGTAATGCTGGGGGTCGGGGGTCAGGGGGTGGGCAGGTACAAAAGTACCAGCTTCCTTAAAGCTGATGTTCCAGAAGGGGAAAAAAAAGAATGTATGAAATGCAAATATGGTCTGGCATGCCATGAAAGAGTCAAGGCTTACAGACGTGTGATGCTTGCAGTAGGAATGGAATTGAAATAGCTGAGGGGGTGACATTTCAACAAACCTTCAGCAGTTGGCATTTTAAGAGAACATTCCAAGTGCCCAGTTACCTCTGTCGGAACATACTTCCACAGGCAGGTTCAAACTCACTTCTTCACATCTCTGGCAAAGGCCAGCATATCAGTTAAGTCTTCTCTAATCATCCAGTTTAAACTAGAATCGCAGCCCTCCAAAGCCAGCTCTGGTTCCCTCAGCCATGAAAGCTAGGAGCCTTGGTTCATCTGTGCCCCTGGTCTGCAGCTGGAGCCTTTAGCCTGCGCTCTCCCGGATCTCTCCCCTGCTCGTGTTTATTAGCACACAAGCACTCCGGTCATCACTGTAGTTCTTACCACCCTTCTACGAACTGTATCTATGTGACGTGAGGACAGACTGGAGTGTGACGGCTTGGCTGGGAATCCTTGCCCTCTTTCACCAGCTGCCTGACCTCAGGTATCCAGGCTCTCAGTACCATCATTTCTTTAACGCTCTCATCGGCACAGCGATGCCTACCGCACAGGGTGATTGTGAAGATTAAATGAATCGTTCGTTGAACGCCTGAAAAATCATGACTGCCCATCTGAATAACCCAAGAAGCATGAGATTCTATTGCTTAGATTGTGCTTGCTACTTAACTATGCAATGGTATGCATGCTCATCCATTTCACATGACTACAGACATTTTGAGGCCCCTGAGCATGGAGGGCCGGTCACTATTCAATAAATATGTTGGATAAGAAAGTCAGCAAGCCATTGAAGACTGCGTGCGAGTAATACGTCTTTGAGAATCTGCTTATTCAGGGTAGTTGTTTAATGATTCTCCCAATCAAACCAGAACAGCATCCGTCATACCTCCATAGACAGATAACTCACCCCATTAGAAGATAAACTGCTCTTTGCTAGAATGATAAGATTTTCTACAGTTTCGTCAATCTCCATATTTCTGGATTCATGTGAAATTACACTTAACTCCAGGATAAAGCAATTCATTGCTGTTACTTTGCAATTAGGCTGAAAAAAAATAGAATTATAAAAAACCAGTTTGAGAACCTTACATTATTTTTAGATTATTCATTTTCACATGGACATAATTTTGAATGTTTAAAGCTAATCCAAACATTTTACATACTCAAAAACACCTCTAATAAATTTTACACAGAAAGCAGCTTGGTTTTGGTTTGTTTGTTTGTTTGTTTGTTTGTTTTTCCCTTTCTGGCTTTGAAAGCCAAGCAAAACAAATGAAACACATCAAGAAGCATGCTGCTAATTGTACGGGAAAAAATGAAACTTGAAAGCTTAGAACTAACAGGTCATGTTTTTTCACTGAGCACATGTAACAGCAAGATCGTATTGACCCTAGACTCTCAGAACATTGACATTACAAGTAAGAATTTTTGTAATTAGTTATATTGTTAACACTCCAAATATCGGTGGCTATTAATCATGCTGTTCTTCCAAGATTCAAAGTTATAGGGTCAGAACTGACTCCAAAAATTGCACTCAGAATTTTTGTCCACTCAGATTAGGCAGTTCAGAAAAGGGCCTCTAAAGGCCCCAGAAAATACATATTTCACAAGAGTTCATTTAACAAATGTTTGAATTTAAAAGGACATGATTCTCTGGGGGGGTTGGTCCTGGACTATTTGACTTACCTGGAAGCCTGCAGACACTTAATAACAAAATCTTACTGAATGGGGGAATAAAGGAAAGACCACAGCCACGTGACCGGCATTGGCAGTGTCCCAGGCCTCACAGGAGCTGTGCACTCCTGAAGGGGCAAATGTGTCACTGCGCTAACAGTGGCCAAGCTGAGATTCAGAAGTTTATAGTGCCTTCTAAGGTAGCACAACTAGAAACCGACTCAGTCACATAAATCTACATTTCAATCTCAGATGCTTTCTACAACCCAAGGCTTACAGGGTGACCTTCTTGCGAAAGAGCAACCTCACAATGCAGGGTTAGTAGAAAATGCAGTCTACATAGATGATGCTGAATCCAGAGGAGGAAGACAAACTTTATATGCAGTAACACTATCTAAGAGGTTAATCAGTACAATTTTCTCAGTTCCTGGCTAAACCTATTTTCCAATGCTTAGGAGGAAGTCAGTTAAATATCAAATAATTCAGAGATGTTCTAACTGAGGAACAATTGAAGAACTATTTTCACCATTTGGAACACATCCAACTAAGAGTTTGTTTTCCAAAGGGCAAGAAATGTGGGGACCTGTTTCTTGGCTTAGTGTTCAATCCAGAGGAAAATGATTAATGGCATAACAGAAATCATACATGCCGTTATCTTTTCATTCTAGTTTTCCATGAATTGTTGAAGTCCCCTCACATTAATGAGCAATGTTTAATTTTGAATTCTGACGTATTTTAGGGGTTGTCTGGGTTTGTTTTTTTAACACACCAAAAGTAACCAGTTAGAGTTCTTTCTGACAAATGCACATTCATGAAACATGTAGATCATGGATGTGTTTAAGCAATTTGTGGGCACAAGATTTGAGATGGTAATATACTACAACATTGAAAATGAGTGATATATTGGATACTTTGAAATTGAGTAAGTTACCTGATTCTTGCATCTAATTTGCATCATGATCTAATTCTGTTACAAAGTCATAAAATGTCTCTTTTAGAGACTGATGGAATAAACCTTTTATATTTCTATTTTGGGCTATCACAATATAGTTTTTTTGTCCTCAAGTCCCCATCAATAATTAATCTCTAAAATTAATGAACTATTCTAGAAGGACTCCAAAGTTACATTTAAAGACAGCACCTATATCTGTCAAATTGTAAAAATTTCATTTTTAGAATATTTAAAGCTAGAACATATAGCCATTTTGTAAAAACATTAAACTCACGTGAGCATCACTTTCAGTATATAATGTGGCATCAAAATGTACAGACTGGAAGAGAAAAAATTAGGTAACATGAAAAAGTATGCCCTCCTTTAGGTATAACAAAACTAGACACATTAAACCTTTCAACTAAATTCTTATTTCTGAGATAATTTTAGATTCATATGGGATCCCATGCATTCTGTGCCCATAACCTCAGCATACTATTGCAATTATGAAACTGACATATGTACAATCCATCCACATTACTGAGGTTTGAAACAGGATTCACCTCCACAAGGGCCTCTCTTGGGGTTCTTCTTTTAGCACCACCTTCACTTTGTTGCCCACCATCCTCTACCACCCATCTCTCTTACTCCGCATAACCACTTCTGTGGTCTCCAGTCTCCTAAATTTATTTCAAAAATGTAACTTGTTGACCCTTCTTGGTTTTTTGCTTCTTCTTCACACAGCATAATTCCCAAGTTGCTGAATCTACCAGTAATTTGTCAATGAATACAGGTAAGCCTGGATATTGCTTTTTCAGAAGCTTGTAAATAACGAATTTAGTATCTTCAATGGTTATAAGACATATCAGATTATCTATTTTGTTCGGGTAGTTTATAGATGGAAGTCACTATTTCATTTCCTTAAAGTTGTCAAATCATTTGAGTGTAAAGATGCTCCTGGTTTCTGTTAACTGTGTTAGTCGCCGTTCCCTTTGGACCGGCTAGAGATTCCAGTGCAGTGTCCTGAGGCTCACTTCTAAATTAATAATCGGGGTCTTTTCATCTTTGTAAGTCTCCTATTAATTAATTGTGTTGAAAATGTTTGTTGCATAATCTCTGTTTTTAATTTCTGCTCACAAACATTTTATTTCCTTACTCCTTGGATTTCCTCTTCTTTTTCTAGCTTCTTGACGTAGAGACAAGTTTCACGTGAGCCCCTTTTCTGTTCGAATGTGCTCACGTAGCAGAGTAAGCTTCCCATTCCACACGACTGTACCTCCGTCTCACATAGCTCAGTGGGCTGCATTTTCATTTAGATCCATTTCTACATAATGTTTATTTACTTCAAGACATCCCCTTTGCTCCATGGTTATTTAGAAATACAGCGGTTATTTTCAGGCATTTATATATTTTCCAGTTTTACTTCTGTTACTGATTTCTCACGTTGTTTGGTAGTGGTCAGAGAACATACTCTGAGTAATTTCATAATTTTTGGAAGACTGTTTTATGTCCCAGATTTTTTCAGTCTTGATATATGTTCTATGGATGCCTGCACAAAATGGGTGCTTTGCTGAGATCATGTGGCGTGTTCTACCGACTTTATGGAGATCGCATTCTCACATCAGTTCCTCTGCCTCTCTTCGGAGGCTCTTTGAGTAGATCTATCAGTTACTGAGAAGCGGGAGTGGTGCGGTCCTCAGCTCCCTTTATTCCGCGAACACTTTCACTTTATGTATTTGAAGTCTCTGCTGTTTAGTGCATACGTATCTAGCATCTTATGCTTTCCTGATGGATTGCTCTTTTATTATTATGCAATGTCCCTTACTTACTGAATTCACACCTGATCATGAAGATGCCCATAATCAGGCAATGCTTTGTTCTGCTATCTACAATATTGTCACCATGAATTGGATCTGACTTGATATCTACAATATATTCTACAATATCTACAATATTTTCACTATGAATTGGATCTGACTTGATAGCAAGTAACAGCACCACTGTGCCTCCTCTTAAACTCGGACAGTTATCTTTGACGTCTCCTTCATCTGATATTAATATAGCGACTTTGGATCTATAGAATTAATATGTGCCTAGTATATCGTTCTCCACTATTTTCCTGCCAACCTACCTATTTAATTGTATTTCAAATGTATTTCCAGTAGATAACCATAGAGTTGTGTTGTTTTGTGTGGTTTACTCTAATAATCTATGCGAAAGTATTTTATTTGGAGTATTTAAGTAATTTATTTATAAAGCTGTTATTAATAATGTAGACCTTAAATCTACCATTTTAAGTTTTTGTTTTATTCTATGACACCCTCATTTTCTCATTCCTCTGTATGTCTTCCTATTCTTGCCTCTCTGTGTATTTCTTGAACTTTTAAAAAAAATCCATCTTCATTTATTTTTATCTCTTTGCATCATTTTCTTAGTGGTTAACATTATGGTTGATAATCTACTTATCTAAGTGATCACAGTCCACTGGTGTCAGCATTTCACCACTTCAAAGGAAGCAGAGATTTTCTTCTCGTCATCTCTTCTACTCATAATATAATTGAGTATTTCCTCTACACACATTGAAAATCCCAGTAGATAGTGTTATAATTTAGTTTCTATGATAAAACATAATTCAGAAAACTCAAAAGGAAATGACAAGTCCAGTATATTTATCTAAATTTTTACTCTTTCCACTATTCTTTCTTATCAGTGTTCAAAGTTGTCTTCTTTCTTTCTGATATTTGATCTCATATTTTCTTGATTTCCTCTCCATTACTGAAGGATACTTTATCTGGAAGTAGTACTCTGGGTTAACAGTTGTTTTCTTTCAGTTCAACCCTTTGAAGAGAGTTTGGCTTCCCTCTGGTCTCCTTAGTTTTGTTGAAAAACCTGCTGTTATTCAAATTGGTTCCCCTGTTGATAAGGTATCCCTCTCTCTCACTGCTTTCTGTCTTTCTTTCTTTCTTTTGTTCTTTGTCCTCAGAGGCAAGGAGCACCTTTCCAAGTCACTGTTAGTAGTAGGGCTCCTCTTCAACATCTCCTGTTGATTCATCTGATCCCTGATACATCTAGGTAGAGAATCCAGTCACCAGCCTGCAGGACAAAGACCAGCGGCCCTGGTTGAGGCCATGTTTTGTGGTGGGCTTCTCTCCTCAGATGTCTCCGAGTTCGTTTCTGCAGTTAGGGGGAGACAGTCTGGCCTACAAGGACAAAGAGCTCCTTGGGCTGCTGTGCATGGTTTTAAAGAGTATCAGAATATGAATCTGTAATCAAATGATTTGAGGCTTCACAAGGTTCATGAATTTCTACAAACTATTGTTCTAAGTGACATTTCATTAGGACTTGGAATAAAATAAAGGAGACGCATACTCTGTAGCGATTAAATGGAACATTTTGGGGAAGAATGAGTACTTACTTGAATAAGCTTTTCAATTTTTTCCAAATCACACTTTACATCCTCCCAGTTTGCTTCTGTTTTAGGAAGACTGGCACTGACACTGCTGAAATCAAAATATAATAAGAATAAGAGTAAAGCACTTTGAACAAATATAATATCATCTTGATGAATATCATAAGCCAAATAACGACCAAGATTTATCATCATCATCATCATCATCATCATCATCAAAATTATTAACACGACCTGGGTAAAGACCTCTAGTATCCTTGTCTGTCTGTTTTGTAGATGAATAGGAGCACTAAACATAAAGTACAGCCCTGACTTATTGGGAAAGACCAACCTGGACCTGAGAAAATCCCAATTCGAGAAACAATGTATAAATAAGTTTTGTGACTTATCACAGTGAAATAGAAATAGTGCCTGAAATATAGGAAATGCTCAAGGAATGTTTTTAAATGAATTATTTGTTTTATCCATGTAGAGGTCCAATGAGACTTCTAAGTCACATAAATGAGGAAAATGATCAAAATTGACATTCATTGCTTCCAGGTAATGATTGTGGAAATAATTATTCCTTATAGTAGGTTGTCTGTGTCCTTTGCAAGCAATTCACACTATCACTTTGCTTACAGGATCTTTTTTCATAAACATCATGGGCTTAAACCAAATCAGTGCTGAAGGAGCTTATATTTAGTAAAATCTAAATTAAATATCTGAACCAAAGATACATTTATCAAATAAAACCATGAAATAAATTTTAAGGTGTCAGGATAAATGGCCAATCTCTGGTGGCTCTTGTACAGTAGCATAATCGCCAACACTAATCTATCTTAGGAGGAAGATTTACCTGCATGAAGCTATGATTCCCCATACCATGAAGGCATTAGTAGGGAAAAACTGAACTGGGAGTCAGACTACACACTACAAGTTGGGTGCTTTGGGTCAGTTGTGAGCATCTAAGAGAGAAGAAAAAGTTAATAAGCCGGAAAAAATATAATTTTTAGGAAGAAAAGAAAAAAGTATAGATAAGGAAAAAATATGTTTTAAACAGAGCTAGAATAGAGGCTCAAAGGACAGTGCCAGCAAAAAGTAAACAAAGCAAGAGGGACAAGTCCTAAGTACCTATCTTGTGAAAATGCATGTAGATATCAAATTAGAGCATGTACTTCCAAGTTTATATCATGGGAATATTTCCACAGTAGAGAAATTCTAAGTTAGGCGTTAATCAAGTCTTTTCTCATTCTCCATATCCCCTTCTCTCCATAACACCATGGCTGTGATCATTTTTCAAATACTGAGTACCCAAAGATTTATATCAGCTGAATTCAATAAGCCAATCAAGCATAAGAGGTATTCCACAGGACAATGATTATAGGTATTAACATGTATGCCTGAACTGAAATTACCCCAAAATGAAAACATGAATGCCAACTTCGTTTAAAAAATGACTGTTCAGAAGTAAACCCAAAAAGCACTGGATGGAGGTAGTTCTCAGATACGGTTTCTGAAAAATAGAATTAGTGACAATATTATTAAAATTATAAAACATGAGATGTTAAAATAACATTGTATTTTATTTCTAGGTCCAAAAGGTATAAATTTGTCATTATTTCAGAGACAGTATTTCCTAATAGAACTTTAAACTTCAAATTCATCTTTCGTGATTCCCCCCACCTACCTCCACCTCTTTCCATGTGCAGAACTCTTTAAGCAGAATTTCTCCAGTAGTATTTTAATGGCAATACTTTTAATAGAGCTTACATATTTGCTCATTTACTTAAATACTCATGTCTTCCACGACCTACATTTTTCTCCTTTCCATGACCTCACCTCCTCCTTTGTTCCTTTTTAATTAGCTGACATATTTCATATAGTATATATTGGAAACATGTCATTCTAATGCAGGTTAATTATTAATGTATTAATTTTGTGTGACTATGTGCAAATAAATTAGACATTGGTACAATTGGAAAAACTTGAATTATAGCCAACTAAAGGCACTGCATGCTATCCTTAGAGCAATTAAATAATAATTATTTGATGATTTAGGAAAAGTTTTATCTTAGAAGTTTCAAGATATTTATTATTTTTGCCAGCCTATTTTGATTTTGTGCTGTCAAAGCCTTCACAATTCCACTGATAATTTCATAAAGTAGTGCTTCCTGCCACCTTACCTACTAAGGGTATGTACTTCATTTTCTCGATCCTGAATAACAGCCAGACCTTGTCCTCAAAGACCACAGAATTTACAGAGAATATGCAGGTTTATTTCAAGACCAAAATGGAGTGGAATGAATATGTTAATAATAAACCTGCATTAGTCTTACCCTTTTCAATATGTGCTATATAAAATGTATTAACCACCTGAAAAAGGGAGAAGGATCAACTGAGGGGTAAGGATGATGGAAAATTTAGGTGGTGGATAGATGACAGTATATTTACAATGATGTCAAAACATAATAAGGTTGCTAAATCTTTAAAAAATAAACCTTATTTATTTTTATTTTTGTAAAATAAGCACAATCCACATATAAGTGGGTGTCTGTAACATCTTAAGATCGTCGAAGAATAATCACATAACTTAAGAAGCATCTAAGACTCGAGTGACCGTTCAAGAAAAGCTCCCATACTATCTTAATCTAATTTTCTCTCACCGAAATTCTCATTACTCAAGGCCACGGTAAATCCTTCAATGTTGAAGAAGAGCTGGCTAACGCAACGGATCTCCAGCAGTCATCCATCCAGAATTCCTCCTACGAGAGAATGCAGAATCAAGGATGAGCCATGAAAAACACATGTGAGCTACTTGGGCAGAAGTAAAGGAAAGGGATTAATACTTTTTAATGAGCTGCGCTTTAGTCATTTGTTCCAGATTTACTCAGTTGTTCCAAATGTAATCCTCAAAACAAACCTATAGCGTACGATTAGCAGCGGTTGGGTAAACTGTCTAATTCTGGGTGAGTTTCTAACAAGGACTGGAGCCCAGGTCTGTCTGATTATAAAGCTGGAATCCGTTCTGCTCTGCTACACTCCCGAGGGGCAGATTTCAAAGCCACAGGGAAAACGGGAAGCATCAGAATACCTGGATTCATGTAACATATTGACCATTAATGTCGCATTTCAGAAGTCGTAGCTACTTTTTCAGATAATGAATTGATGTTCTGCATCATTGAAATAGTTACTGTTTTGTTCATTAAAACATCATTTGAGGATTGTGAATGTCACAAGTAGCAAAATTCTAGTTTTTAATTAAAACACAGTGAAGCATGTGATGATTCCGCATTAGCATATTCAACACCATTTCTTTTTTAAAAAATTTTAACAACATTTCATTAAGGAAAAATTTATAACCAAGGCATATAAAATACAAACAATTACTTTGCTGGTTCTTGAAAATGCAACTTATATGTTGACCAAAAAGATGCAAAGTATGTCACCTCTCTTAAAATAAATATCCACTGCATCCAAGTCCAATAACCCCCAATAATTAAATAGATATCCTACCCAGGACCTCTGTAACAAAGGCCTGAGAAGCCAAATGAAATATACGTGAATGATACTGAAAGTCAAAGGAAAGGAAAAAGAAGTAGATCAAATATCAACCAGAAGAAGAGACGGAATAAAAATAACAATAAACACACAGCATGACATAATGAGGCTTTTTGAAATGTCTGCAACCAGCCACCGGGTAAAGCCCCTCACAATTGGTCCCACTCATCCCAGACTACACCAGTGACCATAGGAGTGGGTCGTGACTGGAAAGGTACATAATCCCACACCTTCCCAGTGACCTTAAGTTTGGCCACTTCCTACCTTCACCACCACACCTGTTGCTAGTGACATCCCCCAAGCTGTCACTGCTTCTCCTGTGGCCACAGGTGCAAGCACATGCATGCTACGTCAATATTTGAAGGCACGTGCTCCCTGTCTCCTTGGCCAACAGCCACCTCACTTGCAGCCATTTCCTAGGCCAGCAGAGTGCGCTGTCCTGGATCACGTGCCCCACACCTGATTAATCCTCAGGGATCAAAAGCACCATCGCAGATTGGTCGTACTGCAGCACAGCCTCCTTGGCTGGAAGAAGTGCCAGGATGTAACATATTGCGCAGGCGTCCAGCCCCTACCGCCTTCTCATCTGGAAGAGTACTCTGGTCTGGGGACCCTGATCCCAAGCATCCTTGGCTGGCAGATGTGTAATCCCAGCCCTAGAACCTTACCATCCATGTCTTCAATTAGTAGAATGTATCCATGTGCAAACACCCTGCCCCTACTGCCCCTTCTGCCTGCAGATCCACCCCCACCCCAACTCATTTTCATCTCTTCTTATTTTCCTTTCCCTTTCCTCATTTTAATTTTTTCCTGTTTTTCCTCTTCTTTTTCATTTGTGCATCTATTATTTCTTCTCCCTTCTTCTTCTTTTTACCTTCCTTTGTTTTGCTTGTTTTTTTCTTTCTCTTTTTTCCCTTCCCTCGGGGTTATTATTTATTTTTATTTTTTGTTGTTGGTATTGTTTCCTCATTATTCTTTTTGTCTCAACTCAGCAAGAGTCAGAAACTGTGTCAATCCATCTTCAGACACATCTTGGTCCTCAGATTGAGATATTTTCTAGTCAGTACTTTAAAGAAGTCTCGTGCAGCAGATTTGCCCAGTGCAGTACATCACCTGTTTCTCGGCTGCTTTCTCCATGGGAATTGAATGTGCATCCAAGCAGCATGAAAGCCTTGCTTCATACACCTTCAAACAACCAGCCATTTCTGAACTACGGGGCACCATTTTCCCAGACACAAAGTGAAGGAGGCGGGGAGGGAAAAGGAAAAAAGAAGTAATAGAAATTGGAAATCCCAGGAGGAAACTAAATGAGTGTTGTTACGCTTTGGGGTGTGCAACTAACAACACACAATGTGCACAAATTGTTGAATGGAAAGCTTATCTGCTTTGTAAACTCTCACCCAAAGCAAAATAGCTAACTGAAAAATAAAGTATGTGCATTGCTGTGTTTTTTTTGTTTTTTTTTATCTAACTAACCAACAAATGCACTGCAATGGAGTCGATTCCTAATCATATTGGCCTTTCAGGACAGAGTGAAATTCCTCCCAGAGGTTTCTGGGCTGCACATCTTCATGTGAAGAGGCAGCCTCGTCCTTTTTTCTTGTGGAGCAACCAGTATGTTTGAATCACTGCCTTTTCTATTAGCAGTCCAATGCTTGACCCCCATTATTGCTCCTCTAGCCATATTGCATTGCCTAGATTTACTATTGGCAAGTCTGGAAAAGGTGGAGAAATGGATGTGAACATAGTGGGTGCACCAAGGAAATATAGGCTAGAAGAGGCCAAGGAATTTCAAGTGTGTGAGTAATTGGGAGATTAACCAGGGAAACTTCTCTCTTTTCTTTCTTTCTAGCTTTCTTTCTTTCTTTTTAACCATAGAACTTCATGGAGAGAGCCCTATAACCCCCGTCTTGAATAACGAGTGCCTGCTTTACAGGGAATACATAGCTTTCTAGCTAGAGGAAATGGCATGAGCAAGGACATACAAAGAAAATTGCAGTGTGTCGGGGAAAAATTTTGCCATTTTGATTAATAAACTGTGAACGCAGTGATAGATATGTGTGAACAAAATGAAAGGCAATATGCAAAGCAGGAATTAGCATTTTTTTTTCTCTAAAGGGACATGCAGTAAATATTTAAGGTTTTGCAAGTGGCCAGCCTTTGTTGCAATACTTAACTCTCATTGCCGCACGACAGTAGATACGATCTTGCAAAAATAATGACTGCGGATGGGTTCCAAAACAGCTTATTTATTTAAAAAAAATGATTTGGTGGGTTTGCCCATGAGTTATAATTGTTTGTTCCTTTACCTCTAAAAATTTCTTAATCTGTACTCATGAATAGCTGAGATAGGATAGTTTTGTAAACTCTAAAAAGGCCTATCATTAGTTGGCCTAACAATTTTCCAGTAATTGCTCTCAAGCTGTTCTCAACTGACATCCGAATGATGAAATTTTCGAGTAGTCAAATCCAATCTATGTTAATAAAGCTGAAAACAAACGCGTGAATGCCGCTGCCCTGGACCACCAGTGCTATGAGGGTTGAACAGGCCTGAGTTGATATTTAATTGCTCTCTGGAGCACTACGTCATTTTAGTAGGTCCTGTAAATCCCAAGATGAATAAAAACAAAGTAAATATATAGGTAAGATATTTTTTATTTTAAAAAAGACTTCAGAAAGGATGATGCAAGATGGAGAAGTAGGCAAATGTAAGCTTTTGACTGCAGGGGAGCATGAAAAAGGAAAGGAAGGCAGGCAGGGAGGCAAATCTCAGCTATATTCGAATGCTGGAAATCAAAAGATGACCACCAAGTTAAATCTGAATTAATTTTAAAAAGTGATTTCAAAATAATTTCAGAGCTATGGCTTTTATATTTGCTTTTTTAGCACAACAAAAACTGCTGCTTCCCTGCTGGCGTGAACCCCAGCCCGAGGGTCGGGCCAGCTCCGTTTGCTGACCAGTGTGTGTGTGTTCTCATTTTGATCTAAGAGCTACCTGTTGGCCACAACTACCCTGCTTCTCCGAAAATAAGACAGTGTCTTATATTAATTTTTGCTCCCAAAGATGAGCTAGGTCTTATTTTCAGGGGATGTCATATTTTTCCATGAAGAAGAATATGGTACACATTTGTTTATTGTTTTATTAAATGAGACCTCCCACTTCCTGTCTGCTCCAGCTGCGGTGTGGCCAACAGTGAGTTACACAGCGGCGCCCACCGCTATGGTCCAGAGTCCAGAGTTACGGTAGCTTCAGAGGGCCTTATTTGGGGGGGGATGCCTTATATTTCAGCGAGAGGCAAAACTGCAAGTAGGTCTTATTTGGGGGGGGATGCCTTATATTTCTGCAAGAGGCAAAACTGTAAGTAGGTCTTATTTTCAGGGGATGTCTTATTTTTGGGAAAACACGGTAGGTACTTTCATTTGTTAATTTGATTTCAAGCCACATGCTGGAAAAAGAGCCAGGTGAAGTTGTATAGTAACCCAATTTTGTGTGTATCTAAAGTCAATTTTGTATCAATCTATGATCAGCTGTTATAAATTTAAAATGGTAAATATAATCATCATAGAAATGGCAAAAGAAATCTATATCTATATAGATATATATACATTCAAAGCAAAGGAAAGGGAAATCAAATGGTTACTATAAAAAAATCAGCACAAAGGCAGTATTGAAGGACATGAGAGAGAAAAAGCATACAAGGGGAAAATAAAATGTCAGAATTAATTTTTTTTCTTAGAAGCAATTAATTACCTTAAGTGGAATGATTTAAATGATTTAAGTTATCCAGTTAAAAAGTAGAGGGTTTCAGAATGTATAGACCCAAAATGACCCAACTATAATCTGTTATAAGAAACTCATCTTAGATACAAAGGTGCAAATGGTCTGAGAATTAAGAAATGCAGAAAAAAAACAAGGCAAATTGTAACAAAAAAGAGTGCTACTAAATTAGATGATATGGGATTCAAATTAAAAGTGTCACAGGAGACAAAGCATTGATAGTAAGGTCACCTCATTAAGAAAC